TAATTCGCTTTGAGCAGAAGAAAAAAATGCTACTTTTCCAAATTGGAAGAAAAGGTTACGACCAAAATTCGTCCCTAAATTCGTACACTATTTCCCTAGTTTGATACAGCCTCGCTGTACATGTTTAAGACAACGATGGTAAACTTGGGCCCCGCACTATGGTTGGCTCTTGGCCCCGAGTATTCCTATGCCAGCCCTGTGTGGGAATTAATCCAGTAACGGCTATAACTCACACAATTCATTAAATCAACGTGGACTCACTTACTTTACAGATGTAAGTTTCCCTTTCAAACCTGTCGGTCTATGGGGCAAGTGAAGTAGAGTTCACTTGTTTCTGTGACCTCAGCATATGAAGAGATAGTGTGGTCAGCACTATGCCCAGCCGCCTTTTACTTTCCCTAACGTTAGTTAGGTACCCATCAGAGTTGGGTGGACTCAGGGACGGTCTACCGACTTGAACGCGGATTCGAACTCGAGACTGACCGGTTAGCAGTCCAGCTCTCTACCGCTAGACCACTCCGTCCCTACTTTACAGATGGCTCTACTATTTATAGCATCAGTTCTATTTAAGAGCCCATTAACTTTACAGATAGCTTTACTTTGCTTTAAAATACTTTTACACAACTTTTAGCATGCCCTACAATTCATAAAAAATAACCTGGGCACATTTGTTTGAAATGATATCACTACAATGTATATTAAAAAAAAATATATTGATGCATATTCTTGAGGGTGTCCTTACAGTGTCTCAGAAACAATACGAACATTCTTATTCTTTAGTATATTCATATGCATAAAACGAATAAATTCTCTAGGGTGCCCCTACAATTTATAAAAAAATAATACGGGCTTACTTCATCTGCAAATGCTCTTAAATTTATTTTACAAAAAATTCCCCCCAAAAATTGTAAGGATGTCCTTAAAATGTATTATAATGAATATATTATACATAAATACTTTAAAGATGCCCCCAACAATAGATAAAATGATGATGGGTATAGTTACTGTATTGATTTATGCCCTTCAAATACATCGAACCAATATAAGCTTAATAACTTCAAAGATGCCCCTGCAGTATATATATATATATATATATATATATATATATATATATATATATATATATATATATATATATATATATGGATATAATAATTATTATTCTAAGGTTCTCATAAAAAGTAGTAAAACGAATATGGACATACTTTAAATACTTTTAAAAATATGCCCCTTCAGTGCCTAGGAATTAAATGGGAAAAAAGTATTCTAAATGATGCCCCTAGACTATACAAAAAAAAACTATCAGATACACACTTTAATATAAAGACCGCATTTATTAAAGAAACTTTAAAGCCCGCTTTTTCCATAAAAGTTGTGCTATACAGATAGAATGTCATAACGAGTGATAGACGATTGATAATGACAATGTGTTTTGGGTGGGGTTGGCAAAATAATTAAATCAGTCAGCAATTGTTGAAGAGGAAGATAAAAACGTATTATGACTCAAAGACACAATTTCCAAAAAAAAATAAAAAAATAAAAAAAATAATATTAATAAATTCACTCCATTGGATGCCCCCTCGAAGTGGATGCCCGGGGCCTGGGCCCCGTCCGCCCCCCCCCCCCCCTCTGCACGCCACTGACTGCAAGGCGCGCTTGCAGCTTGTTTTCTAACGTCTCCCAGAAGAGAATTATATATATAGATTGTTGCAGATAAGTGTCTTTTCTTCTTTAACTTGTATCTGTATAATTATAATAATAGTCTCTGAAGCCCTAGGTTTAATTCTGAACTCCACAACGACTGGATACGCATGAGATTACTATTTAACTTGCAGCATTCATAGGCACTGGATATTATCTCTTTAAATGGCTTTATCATACTAGACCCAGATAAACTCGACCACGCCGAGCTGACTGTCGGCTATAAATTTAACATTTATGTACGATAGTCTCGAGTACAATTCTGAGTTCCATGTTAAGAGAGTTTAACACTAATGAGCCTTATCGTTTACAGAGAAAAGACCAAAAGATCTTGACCACTCAGTGCTGGCAGTGGGCTATGGCACCATGAATGGACAAGACTACTGGCTAGTGAAGAACTCCTGGTCCACCTACTGGGGCAACGACGGCTACATTCTCATGTCACAAAAAGACAACAACTGCGGAGTTGCTTCTGATGCCGTTTTTGTTAACGTCAAATAAAGGTCTACACGATTACAATTTCCCGTTATTACTTGACATCAAATAAAGTTTTACAAACAATTTCAACATGCTTACAATTTCCCGTTATTACTTGACATCAAATAAAGTATTTCAATAAAGTTCTACACGCTTACATTTTGACTTCATTCCTTGACATCAAATAAAGTTTTTGCCAATAATTTCTATATGCTTTCAATGTAACTTCATCATTCGCTATGTCTTTGAGGTCGGGATAAAAATAACACCAATTTCTACCGAACTACATCGGATTTAAACCGGAAGTAGTGTAAAGCTGAGTTGACATGCGTCATGAGTTACTGCATAATTTTTGAAATAATCAGATTGCTTTGTGAACTTTTAACGAGATTTAATCAGAGGCGAAGCGACACTTCCCGGCGCCCGGGGACAAACTTTCAATTTGGCGCCCCCTTGTGAGCAATTTTCAATTTGCACCCCCCCTCAACTTTCGATTTGCATCCCCCCCCCCTGAAACTTTCGATTTGCACCCCCCCCCCCAATCAAACTATTTATAATGCAAAAATGCAGCTAAAATAACATTTTAATTTGTTTTTACAACCCATTTTGGCGCCCCCTAAGGTTGGCGCCCGGGGACATATGTACCCCCCTCTCCCCCCTATCGCTACGCCTCTGTATTTAATGATAGGTTTATAAAGTATACTAATACTTTTCGGCATACAGTGCTTTCAACAAGTTTGTAATGTTTTGTGTTATTTCATGTTACGACGATTTGTGCAGTTCCTTTCAGGCACCTCTTCAAAGAAAGTCTACACCCCCCCCCACCAGAACAAAATGGAATTTATATAGAAAATATATACTTTTAACAGTGTGTGTCCCCCCCCCCCCCCCTTCGCCCCCCCCCCCCCCCTCCCCGAAATTTAAGTCAGGAAACAATGTTCCCAGCAATGTATCTCAAATAACCTAATTTTTTACCAGTGTTTTTTTCCAGGGATCTTAGCAGACGAATTAAAACAAGTTAATTAAAAAGTCTAGTGACATTTAAGCGCAATTATGTTGTCTAAAAATAGCTCTGTCGTAGCGTAAATCAAGAGCAGGGTTAATAAAACCATTGGTTAGTTATTAAAACGTTTTTTATTATTATTTTTTTCAGTATTTTACATGTTTTATTTACAATAGAGTTATATGACTAAAAACCATTGCGCGCCTAGCTACCGAACGTGATGGCGCAGCCATTGAACGTGATGGCGCTGCTATTGAACGTGATGACGCGTGTGGTGTGGTTGGATAAACATGCCTACTAATACGGTCCAAATTTTAATGAATTCAAAATTTTTTTTTGGGACCGAACGAAAGGATATTTTTGAAAACTTTCTTCTGCAATATTGTTCTAAATTATGGCAGGAATTGATTGGTACATGTTTCAAGTCGCTAAGTGGTCTGATTGCCGAGATATGGGCAAAAAACCTGCATTTTTCGAGTTTTTTGGCTTTTCCGGGAAATCCATGAAAGAAACCCGGAATTTTTATGGCCTATGCTCATCCTCGTAACTTGCTTAACATAATTGCTTTTGGAACTAGTCATCAATATTGCTTCGTTGAGGAGGAGATACGACTTAAAGCTGGGGACACACATCCAATCATCCATTCATACATCCAGAAATGACGGGTTAATAAACGCAATTCTCCAGAATGGAAATTGCGCTAAAAAGTAGTGAAACAAATAATATATACTTGTTTTAATTGCATTGTCCCTTCCCTACCGCGAAAGTTTGAAGCGCCCCTTCACCACCAAGGAACAAATTCTATGAAATTAACCCTACCTTTGTCGCCTCCTAATAAGTGGTCATAAACAAATGACGTCAAGCTCAGTGTTTCTTCCAGATTTTTTCTCTCCAGAGGTGCACTTGAAATTTTCGGGGGGGGGGGGGGGGGCGGTAGACCTTCTTCGGGGGGCGACACTGTTAAAAGTATATATTTTCTATATAAATTTCTTTCGTTCGGGGGGGGGGGGGGGGGGGGTAGGGCTCCTAGGGTGGAGGAGGGTTAGGTTAGGACTCGATCTTGTGATAAGAGGGAGGGGCAGGGGAGAGGGGGAAGGTCCAGAAATTGTGACACAACGCTTTTGCATTTTCTTTAAAACTGTAGCTTTGCAGTTAATTTACATTATATTTATTAGACTTTTATAAATTGTTATTATTAAAAAAAAAAGATCGATTTTCATTCAAGAAAGACAACGTCGTTAAAAATAAATTGAAGAGGGCGTAGGCTAAAGTTTGACGTCATTTTAAAGGGGTTGGTTGTGACATTTTAGGGGTCATCTATATCCGACGGCTAATTTCAATGGGGAGAGGGGGAGGGCAGGAAGGAGTGTCGGGACTTTTTTGACAAGCGGGAAGAGAGGTAAAAAGTGTGACGTCACATTGCTGCATTGATTTTTGTAAAACTGTAGCTGTTTTTATACTTTAAAAATATTTTTTAATAGATCTAGATTGCTCACATAATGTATTATAAATTCGGATTTTTTAAAAACATTTTCGGTAGGCCATAGAGATTTCATTACAAAGGTAAACTACTCATATAACTCAGCTAATATTTTCAGCGAAATGCTTCGAGCTTGGTTATATTTCCTTACTGTAAAAGAAAATTTGGGTGGAAGGGGGTGTTCGGCTAAGGAATGACGTCATTTTAGGGTATCTGGGTTGTCTGTGACGATGTTGGATGATGGGAAGATCGCAAAGGACAACTACAACAACTCGAAGCAAGATAAAATAATCCATGTAACAAAATGTCAGAAAGCTGCACATGTGCTTGTAATCTGACCCGTCATGTGACAATGCTGATAAAGTTCACGCTTCTATAAATAGCATGAGACATCATGTGATATTTCTCACTTTTGGAAAATGGCGACTCTCCTGTGTATCTCGTTACTCTGCTTTAGTAAGTAATATAATATTACATTTAGAAAATAGATGATTAAAAAGCAAATTATAGGCCCTAATATAAATTTACCCTTTTAATTGAAAAGCAATAGATTTAATAATGAGATTTTTAAATATCTGGAATATAATTAACAGCTTACATCAATTATATAGAATAGATCTACCAGTCCTTTCGTAAGTTGTTGTAGGCTGTAGGCCTACGCCTTCCTTCTGTCAGTTCAGAGACTCTGACGTGACTTCCCCAAGTCGAACGAAAGTTGTCAGTTTTGAAATTTAAAGTTAAACTGCTAAGTTATTCAGTTATGAGTTGAATTTTAAACATGTAGACTAGGCCTAAGTAAGTTAAGCTTTTTGAAAAGTTAAGCTTTTTTTTTTCGAGATCTAGGCCTATAACTAAATTTTTATCAACTGCAAAGTCATCTAAAAGATTCTTGTTGCTTATCTCTAGCTAATGCACTGAAGGTCAGAGTTTCTTTCAGACATTTTGTCCTGGAGGGGGGAGGAGGGTAGGATGGCTAAAGTGTAAATTTAAATTTTGTTTCATGGGGGTGGGTGTGAACAAATATGACCCTTGCCCCACCCCTCCCCCTACTGCCCATACAAGAAACTAATTATCATATTATGATTATAATTTTTGTTAATAGAGAAAACCTTATGAAAATCAATGAAAGTGAGAGGTCAGAAATGCATACCTACTAGATCTAAATTAAATGATAGCTTGACCGTTGCTGAAAATCTCATTATCTAGTAAATAAAAAATAATTAGTTATCTGAAGTAGCCAAGATGTTTATTGTAGTATTGTAGAATGTTCTGTTTTTTTTCTGCAGTTGTTGGCTGTCTAGCAGTAGACCCACCAGTCTACAAGGACACGTATAGAGCAGAAGGTTTCATCCGGCTGCCATATGCTGAAATTGTGGAGCCTTTCAAAGCTTATTTAGATACACCAAACGCCAGATCTCGTGTGGATTATTATGGTGGTAAGGGAAATATTATTAAAATTTTGTTTCAAAACTTTTAAAAAGCATTTAAATTTGAATTTATTGTTTAGACATGTTGGTGAGCTCATTACACCTTGACCTTGATTAAAGCCATATCACAATTTCAGGTTATAAACTTTTCTTTTTACCTTTTTTTTTTTTTTTTTTTTTTTTTTTTAAAATAAATCTTATTTTTTTCAAAGGAAAAGCCTGAATAATTTTAATATTTCTAATATCATGGCAGAGTATGTAGTCTTTATTACATAAAAAAAATTATCCTATATCTTGGATGATGTTAATTTCAACATTTTTTTCTAAACTTGATAGGGACTCAGCGCACAATTCAGTACAGCAAGGCACAAGGTCTTCCCTATGGCACAAGTCTCAAGATCATCCCCTTTAGTACCCAGTCCCTGTATAATCAAATATCATGTTTCCAAGTCAATGGATCAAGTGATGCCCCTTCAGATCTCACCACTGTCATACCTGATCTCACTGGATTTGCTGTGCGTTTTTTATTTGGTTAAAATTTATTTTGACAAAGTTGTTTACTTCTAGACAAGTTTCAATCTAGGATATCTTGATTTAAGTTCTAAATTAGTTAAATAAAATAAATTATTTTCTCTATTTTAAAATGTTTTTAGTATGTAGGCCAAGATTGGATTGATACTCACCACGTTAATACATACAAAAAAGTTGTTACAGATGGAAAAAAGGTAATTTTGAAATTACAATCTGTTCATTTCCATGTTATTTTTTAACTTAATCATCTCTATTTTTGTTTATTGTTTATCTAAACCTATTTACGTCAGTTTTTTTATTTTCCATTCAGACAAGCACGTACACTTTCTGGGCATCTGCTGATGACCTAACACCAATACGCTATGAGATGATGGGCTATGATTCCCTCATGGGCTCTCACTACGACAAGTATTACGTGGACTACACCAGATGGGAATCCCCAGCTGCCTTTACAGATGAGGACTTTGCTGTCCCTGATAGTGAGTGTCTATGCTGTTTTCATCATCCTCTTTTCCCATTCATGCCCTAGACACTTGTGACAGATGAAGTAGAGTTCATCTGTTTCGGTATTCCAGGCATACATGGGGATAGTGTGGTCAGTACTATGCCCAGCCGCATTTGTTTCCTTAACACAAGTCAGGTATCCGTCAGAACTGGGTAGACTCAGGGACTTCCTACAGACACAACCACTTTAAGAATTATAACTTATTTCGAAGATTTATTACACTTTTATCATAGACGTTCTCATTTTTTGATACATTCCGTCAAGTGTTATTTCATTAACTTAATGTTCTAGTTGAATAGATACTTAGAAATATTGTTTTGGCAAATCATTAAAACTAGAAAGAAAAATAAAAAAATTATTTATGGCGGATATTCTTTTTAGGAGGTTGTTGGAAAAAATATCATTTTTTTCTGTTACAGATCTGACATGTACGTCATTCCCTGGGCCGGGTGCTGAACATCACATCATGATGAACCCCATCCGTGAATATGTTCACCACCATGACAAGCACGTTCATGAGGCTTTTGAACACTTCAAGAGGGCTCACAACAAGGTGTACAAGGATGATGAACATGACACACGAAAACACATCTTCAGACAGAACCTCAGGCATGTAACTTTGTCTTTAAGCTGTTCTTGGTTTATTTTTAGTTTTTAGTTTTTCTTTGTTAATTCTCTAGCCTCGTGGGAGTTTTATATCTTACTATATAAAAAAAATGCAAAAGTGTCAATTTAAAATTTTGGAACTGTTTTGAAGCATTGGTAACCTTTTGTTATTAAATAAAAGACCAATTTTTAAATCTTTCACTACATGCCATTTACAAATATATTTAAGTTGAACTACTTATTAGGAATTTAGAGAGATATTTTTATACTATAGTAAAAGTTTTAGACATTGGTAAAATAAATATTAAATACAATTCTTATGGGAAGTTTTATTTTAAAATGTTTTTGTTGAACGGTGTAGATTTATCCACTCCAAAAACCGCGCCGGTCTGACCTACACGCTGGCCGTGAACCATCTGGCCGACAGGTCTGAGAAAGAGATGAAAGTCATGAGAGGGTTCCGCTACACCCATGGTGACCATGGGGGCAAGAAGTTCAGCCTGATGGCCATGGACAAACAGGATGTGCCTGACCAGTGGGACTGGAGACTCCAAGGTTTGTTTCATTTGGTCACGTTAGCTCACCTATAGAATGTAGGCGTCACAAAGGGGGAGGGATGCTGTTGGTGCTAGCCGCACCATGGTTCAATGGTGTCACAAGTGGGGTTGCAGTTGGTGCTAGCTGCATGAATCTACTTTAGCTTTAAAATTTGTATTTAGTTTTGTAATTATTTTCAAGCCAAGTAGGATACATGATTTTTAATTTGTATATCCTACAAAGTCAATTAAACTAACATGGATGTTTTGTCTAACTATAGAAAGCATCCCATGTTGGTTTTAATGTTTTTGTGTATATTTTTAGTATATTTTTATATTTATCCCCGTAACCTAGACTATTCTTACTGAGCAGTTTTCATGTAAATTAACATAATTTAACGCATACAATTAGGGTCTATTTACTGATTGGATGAATAAATAATTAATTAATTAAATCTAGGTGCTGTTACACCTGTCAAAGACCAAGCCATTTGTGGGTCCTGCTGGAGTTTTGGAACTGTTGGCACCATTGAAGGTGCTAATTTCCTGAAGGTAAATTAAAATTGTCACCGTGGTCAATATATTTTCTCAAGCTTGAAGCGCCAGCTTCTGACCCCAGTTCTATTGTTAAAATGCCAGCTTCTTATCCCAGTTCTGTTGTTAAAATGCCAGCTGCTGACCCCAGTTCTGTTGTTAAAATGCCAGCTTCTGACCCCAGTTCTATTGTTAAAATGCCAGCTTCTTATCCCAGTTCTGTTGTTAAAATGCCAGCTGCTGACCCCAGTTCTGTTAAAATGCCAGCTTCTGACCCCAGTTCTGTTGTTAAAATGCCAGCTGCTGACCCCAATTCTGTTGTTCCCAGACTGGAAACCTGATACGTCTATCACAACAAGAACTTGTCGACTGCTCCTGGGGTTTTGGAAACAACGGCTGTGATGGGGGTGAGGACTTCAGAGCTTACAATTACATCATGCAAAATGGTGGACTCACTAGTGAGGAGCAGTATGGACAGTACTTGGCTATTGTAAGTTGATGCTTTACTCTTGAAATTATAGGGTTAATTTGGTACTTTACACTTTACATTTTAGTGTAAAGTTGGTACTTAATTCTTTATATTTTAGTGTAAAGTTGGTACTTTATTCTTTACATTTTAGTGTAAAGTTGATACTTTACTGTTTACAGTTAGGTTTTTTTTACTAGGCTATTTTACTTAACTGTTTATATTTAACATTATACAGTGTTTTTGGTTAAGGGTTAGATTTAAATAACCAAAGGAAACCAATTTATACTTTTGGCATTTAAATTATGATATTGCTAATAATAATTGCCAAAGATGTTTAGATATTTAATTAGCCTTCCTTTTAATTTTCTTGACCACTAACATGAGGTTCTGTATTATGGTATTCCAGTGATTACTGTTTTGATTATATAACAAAATAAAACCAACATTAACTGTATTTGACAGGACGGGTTCTGTCGCAGTAGAGTTGTCCAACCAGTTGTCCAGCTGGCTAACTTTACAACCCTACCTCAGGGTGACCTAGGGGCATTGAAACTGGCCATATTCAACAAAGGGCCAGTTTCAGTCGCCATCGATGCATCTCACAAGTCCTTATCTTTCTATGCTAATGGCGTTTACTATGAACCAGATTGCAGTAAGTATTGGTTAGCTACAACTTTAATATGAATCCTCCGTAGCCGTATCTTAATTATCAGGTTGAATTTTTTCATTTGAAATTTTTTTTTTTTGTATCATAGTAGTTTTAATTCTGGGGTGGATGGATGCTATTCTCAAATCTAAGTCTAAATTCCATGTTTACAGAATCTTAACAATTATGAACCTTTATAATTTCCAGAGAATGGACCAGATGACCTTGACCACGCCGTGCTGGCTGTAGGCTATGGCACCATGAATGGACAAGACTACTGGCTAGTGAAGAACTCCTGGTCAACATATTGGGGCAACGATGGCTACGTCCTAATGTCACAAAAAGACAACAACTGCGGAGTCGCTACCGATGCCACTTTTGTCGAAATCAAATAAATTCTCCCCCCCCCCCCCCATTTCATCCAAACTTTCAGTTTTTTAAAAGCAGCTCAAATTTCTTGCTTGATACATCAGTCTTAACTCTTCTTCATTTGTTCGTTTAGAATAGGTAAATCAGTCATTTCTTTACCCTTTCTGCATTTGTTTGTTTATAAATCCATGTTACCTTGTTAAACGTAATAAACAAACACGTCCAGTCCAATATGTTCAGCCGCAGAAATGTCTTTCAGAACGCGTATAAATGGAGTTGGGTTTAAAAAAAACATTCCAGTGCTGTTATGAAGATACAATTATTAGATCTTTACTGGGAGTGGGCATTGAACAGACTGGTCTTTGAAGCAGCTACAATTTTACTCTATTCCTCTTGTATTCTGATAACTTATGACATGTTGTAGAACTTTGTTTAACACAGGTTGTAGTGATACTTTACTAATGTGGCTTATTTTCAGATTTTTAAACTGTCTTTTGTATAAATTAAAAATGTAAAAAAATGGTGTTTCAATTTACTTGGAAACAGTTTGTATGATTTACTTGGACTCAATGTGCGAGAAGCTGGTTAATTTTATTCGTTTATTTACAGTCTCACACCACTGTAATATTTTTTTTTATTTACCAATGTATAATTGCAAATATTTTGTAGTCTTAGAATCAAATGTTACACACATAGCAAATTTGCAACCACTGAACACTGGAATCATGGGACGGGATGGCCTAGCGATAGAGTTAGACTGCTAACCCAAGAATCTTGAGTTCGAATCCGAGTTCAAATCAGTGGAACGTCCCTGAGTCCACCCAGCTCTGATGGGCACCTAACTTACCTTAGGGAAACAAAGTTGGCTGGGCATAGTGCTGACCACACTATCCCTTCATATGCCTAGGTCAATGAATCAGATGGACTCTACTTCATCTGCCCCAAGTGTCTTGGGCACGAACGGGACTAAGAAGAAAAAGAACACTGGAATCAAATCTGTAACTCTAATGTAAGGGAGATGAAATATTCCCTAAGAAGTTGGTTTTTTAAAGAATCGAATTCTTATAGTGCAGGCCTACTACATATCTAAATGAGACGATTCATAATATACTTTAGGCCTACATTTGTTATATAAGTTATAAACTTGTAGTGTGGGGAAGACCATTAAGAATGTAGAGGGGAAATAGTAGAGGATCTGACCACAGTAAAACCTGATATGAACTAGGGTGGCTCGCTAAGGATGGAGAGGCTTGCTGGAGTTTTGTTGCTGCCTTATGCCCCACATGGCAAAAGTTTTGTTGCTGCCTTATGCCCCACATGGCATAAGTTTTGTTGCTGCCTTATGCCCCACATGGCATACGTTTTGTTACTGCCTTATGCCCCACATGGCATAAGTTTTGTTGCCGCCTTATGCCCCACTTGCCGAAGTTTTGTTGCTGCCTTATGCCCAACATGGCAAAGTGTTGTTGCTGCCTTATGCCCCACATTGCATAAGTTTTGTTACTGCCTTATGCCCCACATGGCATAAGTTTTGTTGCTGCCTTATGCCCCACATGGCAAAAGTTTCGTTGCTGCCTTATGCCCAACATGGCAAAGTGTTGTTGCTGCCTTATGCCCCACATGGCATACGTTTTGTTGCTGCCTTATGCCCCACATGGCATACGTTTTGTTGCTGCCTTATGCCCCACATGGCATACGTTTTGTTGCTGCCTTATGCCCCACATGGCATACGTTTTGTTGCTGCCTTATGCCCCACATGGCAAAGTGTTGTTGCTGCCTTATGCCCCACATGGCAAAATCTTCGTTGCTGACTTATGCCCCACATGTCATAAGTTTTATTGCTGCCTTATGCCCCACATGGCAAAGTTTCGTTGATGCCTTATGCCCCACATGGCATAAGTTTTGTTGCTGCCTTATGCCCCACATGGCATAAGTTTTGTTGCTGCCTTATGCCCCACATGGCAAAAGTTTCGTTGATGCCTTATGCCCCACATGGCAAAAGTTTCGTTGATGCCTTATGCCCCACTTTGCATCAGTTTTGTTACTGCCTTATGCCCTACATGGTATACGTTTTGTTGATTAAAAAGAAATACAGAAATCAACCGAAGTTTGTGATAACTTTTTAGCGCAATTTCCATTCTGGAGAATTGCGTTTATTAACCCGTCATTTCTGGATGTATGAATGAATGGATGGATGGATGGATGGATGTGTGTCCGCAGCTTTAAGTCGTATCTCCTCCTCAACGAAGCAATATCGATGACTAGTTCCAAAAGCAATTATGTTAAGCAAGTTACGAGGATGAACATAGGCCATAAAAATTACGGGTTTCTTTCATGGATTTCCCGGTAAAGCCAAAAAACCTCGAAAAAAAAGCAGTTTTTGGCCCATATCTCGGCAACCAGACCACTAAGCGACTTGAAACATGTACCAATCGATTCCTGCCATAATTTAGAACAATATTGCCGAAGAAAGTTTTCAAAAATATCCTTTCGTTCGGTCACAAAATTTTTTTGAATCAATTAAAATTTGGACCGAATTAGTAGGCATTTTTTCCAACCACACCACACGCGTCATCACGTTCAATAGCTGCGCCATCGCGTTCCATGGCTGCGCCATCACGTTCAGTAGGCGCGCAATGGTTTTTAGTCATGTAACTCTATTGTAAATAAAACATGTAAAATACTGAAAAAAATTAATAAAAAACGTTTTAATAACTAACCAATGGTTTTACTAACCCTGCTCTTGATTTACGCTACGACAGAGCTATTTTTAGATAACATAAGGAAATTGCGCTAAAATTGTCACTAGACTTTTTAATTACCTTGTTTTGGGTTGGCGGAGATATTGGTGAGTTAAAAAAAAAAGGAAGTTTAGAACCTTCCACAACCTTGTAACACGATTGTCTGTTGGGGGGGGAGGGTATGACGCTGTCTAGGCCGGATTTAAGTGAGAAACCGTTTGGGCCACAACCCGAGGCTCTGTTGCCTGAGAGGGGTGAGGGAAACGCCCTTTTTAGGTCTCAAACTGGAAACTTTATTATAAAATGTACATCTGCGAAAAAGTTGTCAGTGTTAGAGCATATCACCAATGCTCAGACATGGGAGAAGAACATAATCCAGGCAGAGGCGTAGCGACCCTTCCCGGCGCCCGGGGACAAACTTTCGATTTGCACCCCCCATCAAACTTTCGATTTGCACCCCCCCCCCCTCAAACTTCCAATTTGTTTTTCCAACCCATTTTGGCGCCACCTAAGGTCGGCGACCGGGGACATATGTGTCGTTGTCCCCCGCTACGCCTCTGAATCCAGGGCACGGTGCCCCTGGGGGGGGGGGGGGGGGTAGGCGAGGCGGAGAGCCCAAAAAAATGACACAAAGGGCTAGACCGGATTGTCATGTGTAGATTTTACTTAGATTCACGTAGGAGAGAAAGTTGGCAAGGCATTATGTAGTAGCGCACCCTAATCTACAGTACCTACGTTATCTGATAGACAGGTCGATTTAAAAGAGAATAAAAATCCATTTGGTTTGCATGTTTATTTTTATAAAACACTTGAAAGGAGGTGACAGCTAGACAAAGTTACATTTAGTTGATATTCTTACAATATTTATTTTCTTATACAATTTAAAAAAAAGTAACATTGCATCGAATCCAGAGGCGTAGCGACCCTTCCCGGCGCCCGGGGACAAACTTTTCGATTTGCACCCCCCTCGAGATTTTGATTTGCACCCCCCCCCTCGAACTATCGATTTGCACCCCCCCCCTCGAGATTTTGATTTGCACCCCCTCCCTCAAACTTTCGATTTGCACCCCCCCACCCTCGAGATTTTGATTTGCACACCCCCTCAAACTTTCAATTTGCACCCCCCTCAACCTTTCAATTTATTTTTCCAACCCATTTTGGCGCCCCTAAGCTCGGCGCCCGGGGACTTATGTCCCCCCCCCCGCCCCCCCCCCCCCTCGCTACGCTACTGATCGAATCAACGGAACCAAGAACAAGGATTCCACACATCGCTTTTTTTTAAAAAGATGCAATGAGTAGCTCAATGATCTGAATCAGTTGAGACATTTTTGAACATTGTGACCACTATAAATTGTGTGTAAGCCCTGACGGGGGGGGGGGGGGGGGGGAAGGGGGTTAAAAATCCCTATCTAAATCTACACCCAGGCTAACCAATTATCGTGCGTCAGTGCTACCATCGCTTTCCCTGTTAACTACTGTGTTAATGAGGTTTTGTTTTGTTATGATTTTTCAATACTCGCTTTCCATGTTAACAATTTTATTTAAATGTTTCTAAAAATAAACTTCCCATTAATCTCTAAACCTCTTTATCATGCTTTTGTTGTAAATTTTGACGCGTTGCTTTAATAAACAACGTATACAGGAAGCAACTAGACCCTAAGACTAGAGTGAGACTTGAGTCTAGATAAAAATTGATGAATATGCCAATATGGTAAGTGTAGAGTAGTTATTTTGTTGTTTGAGACACTAACCTTTCCGCAATAAATGGCGGTTGTTGTATGTTATTGTGATTTGTTATAGAATCGAGCATTGATCAGTAACTTAAAAATCAAGAAAAAGCATTCAAAGGACATGACAGTTCATCATTATTGTTGACATGGATAGGAATCTTTATTTTTTTTTTTAAATTAGATTTTGCCATCAAAGCAGCCGTATACAAATGTAAAAAAAATAAATAAAATGAAAATAGTAAGGAGATTTAATATTTTTAGAATCAATGTCATAAAAATTGCAAATCCAGAGAACTTGCCATTTTATTTTTAGTTTAAGGCTTCATTTCTATTTATTTTTTAATCAAGCCTGTTATAACCTGAAGTTTCATAATATTCACGGTATTCTGAAACCCCAACTTCATAGTAATTTGTTATATAAATATTTAATATATGAGAGATGGCTATGTAAAGAAATGTTATGTAATCTAGATCTACAGCTATCTGAGCATAACATGTCCCCATTTGTCAAGAACAATATCTGCTTCTTTACTGGTCAGATAGTCACACAAGAATCTGATATATTTATTTACTTTGAATACACTGGATTCAGTTAACAAGTTGTACCGTAATCACGTCAGGGGGGGGGGGGGGTCATCCATAAATGACGTCACGCTTTTTTGACGATTTTTACCTCTATCCCCCCTTCCATCCGTTACAGTCGTTTCACAAACTTAGCCAGACCCCCAACCCCCTAAAATGACGTCACAACTCAGCCTACCCCCCCCCCCCACAAGTTGCATTTGAACTTTTCTTTAAACATCCATATTTTTCCGAAAACTTTTCAATGTGTGTCCTGTGTACAACTTTACAGTAGTCGACCTGTAGTTAAATGTGCTACTTTACAGTAGACTACTTGTAGTTTGATGTGTGTACTATGTGCTACCTTACAGTAGACTGTTAAATATGCACAAATATAAACATGTCCTCCCCCCCCCCCTAAAGTTTTACACTGATTTCGAATCAACCCCCCTCCCCTCTCCACCTACTTTATCTTGTTTTCCAGATGACACCCATGTTGATGACGAGGTACACGAGTACAGCCGTCTTGTTGCTGGGACTCTGGACACTCCCTTCAAGCGGCGAGGTTACCCAGAACTCTAGTCATGGAACCTGCAGCGCCCCTATGTCTCAGAATGGCGCTCTTGCCCTGGTACCGACCGTCGGTATGTCTGTGTCTATGTCTTGTCTATACAATGGGGGGGGGTGCGGTCTGTACCGGGTGACACCATTTAAGGGTGACACCATTTAAGGGTGACACCATTTAAGGGTGACACCTACCTAATCTGAAAATCGTAAAATTATAGAGTCAAAACAATGTTTTAGCTAGTTAAAAAAAAGTAGGTGTAGAGGGATGACGCCCAATCGAAAATGCTAACTTGTTGTAGGGGGGGGGGGGGGGGGGATGAGGGTGACATCCTTAGTTTCCGCACCGGGTGTCACCCAATCTATTAACGCCACTGAGTCAGTCTCTGTGTAAGTCTTTGTCGATGTTTCAGTTAAAAAACCTCCGAAACAGGCACAACTTATATAATTTTATTATTATTATTAAACCTTATATCCCCAGTTTCTAAAATAAACTATGCACATGTACATAGTATCATCAGTTGACTATATAATAGACAAAAACATTAGCTTGTGATACTGATTGTAATTTTTTTTTCCACCAGAATACGACACTCTGTATTTGACAGTCAATGCTATGTTGAAAGAGTTAAAAGCTCTGGGGCTGGCTGTCAATGACCTAAAAGATCTGAGTCAAGCTATGTTGAAAGAATTAAAAGATGTGGGGCTGGCTGTGATAGAGTTAAAAGACCGGAGGCTGGCTGTGATAGAGTTAAAAGATCAGATCGCTGCCGCCAACAACTCGATCGACAAATGTCACGAGGTGATTGATAGAATGTTTTGGATGATGGTCATATTTCTTTCTGTCATTGGACTAGGCCTGTTGGGTAAGGATTGTATTTCTAGAGTTAGCAAACATAGATATATTTAATAAGAGACAGTCGTGATTATGGGAATCCATGGGGGATTCCTGACTCACTTTAGGGAATGTAAAGACAGCTTGACATATTCCTTCATATGCCAAGGTCACTGAAACATGAACTGTACTTAAGAAGCGAGGGGCGTTGACAACATAACGGGTTCGGCTCCAACTTCTGATGCGACCGTTTACCGTGACGTCGAATGACAAAATACATATACTCTAATTAAATTTCTTTTAAAATATCTAGGTCTGTACCTCTACAAGACCTTTTCCGTACTAAACATCGGCGGGATCCAAAATATATTCAACGGTCCAGGGACAGCACATGTAGTAGTCCATTTATCTGTGGCAGCCGAAATAAATTCTAACGCATCTGACCAATCAATGCCCGGCACAGCTGAGGTGCCCACCAATAGGAGCGAGTCTGCTGACCCGGCCGGTTTGACTAACGCTGCGCCGGATGGTGTGCCGGTTGGTGCGCCGGATGCTGTGCCGGTTGAAGTGCCGGTTGAAGTGCCGGTTACTGTGCAAGTTGACGAGCCGGTCCCTGCATCCACAACTGACAATACTGCTAGCCTGGTTACAATGAAAACAAATAGCCAGAAGTAAGTTGTTTGATTTGTTACAAAACTTACATTAAGTTGTTTGATTTGTTACAAAACTTACAGTAAGTTGTTTGATTCGTTACAAAACTTACCTTAGTTGTTTGATTTGTTACAAAACTTACCTTAGTTGTTTGATTTGTTACAAAACTTAACTTAGGTTGTTTGATTTGTTACAAAACTTACCTTAAGTTGTTTGATTTGTTACAAGATTTACAGTAAGTTTTTTGATTTGTTACAAAACTTACCTTAAGTTGTTTGATTTGTTACAAAATTTACCTTAGTTGTTTGATTTGTTACAAAACTTACTCATGATTCTCGCGGCCTCCTGAACCTTCAGGTTTTCCTGGAATTCTCCTGAAATTATGAAAATGTCCTGAAATTTTACTAGCATCGATCATTTTAGTGAATTTTGTTCGTGCTTTATAGGTGATCAGATATGCCGATCCAGCAAAATTTGCTTAGGTTTCTTTGTCGATTCTGTTCATAAAAGGCAAAAACTCTTAAATGTAGACCTACATCTGTCTTAAATCAACGTCCCGGTCGGTTTGGTTTATTTTTTTTCATGTCTTCCTACGAGTGTGGCCAATTTGATAGGCTTGAAGATCTTTTTTTTAAAATTGGTAATTTCAAGTAGGTCTAAATCTAGTTTTTAGCACAGGTAATTTCATTAAATTGTCCGTTAGGCCCTAACTCTACTTTCTATTATCTCGCGCGTGGCAATACTATATTTACCCCTACCCCCCCCCCCCCCCCCCACCCCCAATCCCGCATCTCAGTTTCTCTTTCTCATAACGGGAAACAACTAACCCCGTGAACGTGTTATATGAGGTTCTATACTTATCAGAATGTCGGGATGATTATTTTTGGCCCAAACGTTTTGTATTTTCAAGTTTTATTTCTAAAGTGCAGCTTAAAAGTCCTATCTAATGTTATGAGATGGATTTGTTTCAACAGGCCTCAGAACTAGTGTGGAGAAAGGAGGGGGGGGGGTGTAAAAACAGGCTAAATTCTTGGAAGTTAATCATTATATAAGAAAAGTGTCAAATTTATTCTATCTAAACGAGAATGTACTTTAACTAAAATAAATGGTTTTGAAACAGTTGATTTTTAAAATTACAAATGCTATGCTACATAGCATTTTATATAGACCCCTTTCATATCTTGGAAGTTTTAAACTTTCTTCCATTCGGCGCCGGGTTCAGTCGTTGTTGCTTTACATTAAATTTTGTCCTGAACTTAGGGGTTTTCTCTTGGAAAAACTCCTGGAATTTTCTTAAAAAACAACTGGAATTTCAGGTTCACTTTGGTGTAGGAACCATGAATCGAGTTTTCTGTAGCAAATGCCATAAAAATGTATTTTAAAATGCAAACTGCTAAACTTCAGTAATAAAAGTATTTTTTAAAAAATGTTAAAAGTATAACGACACTTTCTGACCCCCCCCCACCCCCTTAATGTAACTGTTGTTTTGATCAACTTCCTCTACCCCTGGAGTGTGACGTCATGTATGAACTACCACTTCATTCCGTTAAGAGAGTTTTTGTTTTTCTAGCTGCATACCCATTTATTGGGCCCATTTCATCATCGTTTCTCTTTTTTGTGTGCCCCAGACACATGGGTTCCCACAGAAAGCTCCCTTCACTTGTGTCCAATTAGTTGATATTAAAGCTGTTTCTTTCAGGCACCTCTTCGGGGGCTCATTGCCCCCACCCCTCCCGGGCCTGACTCAATAAAAATAATATAACATTCATTTAGAAATACATACTGTAACCAGTGTCCGCCCTCCCGGAAATTTAGGTACGCCCCTCTATACAAAAGTTAAAAAAATTACTTTTAAGATCGACGTACTAAATTTTATTGGAGAATCTCGATATTGGACCGATACATAGATTGTGGCTTGTTATTAGTTTTCCCTGTTAACTAGTTCATGTAAATCGTTTAATTATTTTATTCCCAGCAGTGATGATAAAGAGGATGATGAAACACTGGTGCCATTGTCACTTGAGACGCCACACTGAGTTCCAGAGAGTATCCAGCCTCGACTGAGATTCATTCCTTCCTCTGGGTTAGCTTTATACGTCTATAAGTGCCCCATTCAATGTACACCCCCAGCTATATTTCTTATTTTTGCATTCTTTCTTTATTTAAAAAAAAATATTTGAATTGTTTTGAAAATAAGCATTCTTCCTAATCTATTAAATGTCTTCTGATCTAAGAGCATTAATCAAGTGTAATACCTCAGCTACGTTTCTTTTTATTAACAATGTTGTATTATATAGAAATAATATAGAATTGTTTTAAAACTTAAAGTACTTTCCCTATTTAAACTATTACGTGCCAATACAATCAGATTGTTTGATTAACCTCAGAAATAAATTACATTTATAATGTATGTTTAGAAAGTAAAAACAGAAAAGATTCGTTCTGCAGTTTTGGATTATGCTATACAGTAAAACTCAATCCGGCTTAACGGACGTGAGTTGTAAGTGAACACATGTGAGTTTTGTGTAAACTTAGGTGGCTGGAGTTGTTTTATGACAGTTCCGTCTGTGTGGTAGGGCACCAACCCGGGTTGTGTAAGCTGGTGATAGGCGGAGTTGGTGTATTATACAGCTAAGTGATTTTTGTGTTAGTCAAACTTTAGTTGGGACATGGTTGAAGGGAGGTCTGACGGTGCACGGCTTAATGGAGTACAACCCCTCCCACCCCGCTTACATTTTGAAGACAAAATTCGTTTCCTGGTGCTGGAATTTTATATTCTAGAATGTGGCCATTACTGTACATACGTTTGAGATGTATATAACATCAGATGTTTACATTTAGCTATATAGCAATTTTTTTCCTGTTTTTATTTACTTTAACGTTTTTGATGATTATATTATAAAATGTGGCCATAACTATACAGACGTTAAAGATGTTTATAATTCAGATGTTTACATTTACCATTATAACAATTAAAATTTTTTTTTTATTTTGACATAGATCTATATGATGATTAAATGAGTTAAAGTTGAAGCTGTTGTTAATTTTTTTAAAAATCTCGTTTCATAATAAGATGTTTAAACATTTTTTTTTCTGTTAAAAATGAGACTATTATTGTAAAAAAATATTTTCTTTTAAAAAATGAGATTTTAAACTGCGCGGTCGACTCAGTACAGCTGATGGTTATTGCACCGAAAAGTCTCGAGAAGGAACCCCCGGGCAGATGAGGCTCGATAGCTGGGGTCTTTAACTCTTCTAGGTGCAACATATCCAAAAGCAAACAACTGCTGCCTTATAGTTTGTTCTTGGTTGGGCAAATGCTATGAAAGCAAATCCAAAATGAAAAGCATGCTGAAATCGGAGTCAAAGGCGCTAACAAGTTGACACATAATACTTAATTGTGTTGGAGGGGATCCCTTCCAACACTACAATTATGAACCATGAAAAAAAAGATAAAAAGAAAGTGGCAACTCATTAAATGTGTAACTTAAAAATATAAATTCAATCTATAAAGGATTTTGATACAATTTAAACGAGAAAAAATAATTAAAAAATAAAATACTACATTGAGTCAACATAACTCAGATGGTGGTTTTAATGTCCACCCTCTTTATGTTAGCTGTAATGAGAAGAAATTTGTAACAATAGAACTTATTTTAAACATTGTGACCATGCATGGATTACTGAAACAAAGAAAACTTACACACGGCAGTAAACGGGTTTGAATCACAATATGAAATCAGGCTATTCATGGACGCACTAGAGAAGAATTACCTTTTGGTATGCTTTTACTTTAAACCACAAAAAGAAGAATTAGCAAATAATTAAGAATAGCAAAAGAGATTTAATATTAAACTCCATGGAAAGGAAATCAATATTTTCGCATTTAACGAAGACAAATAAATCTTGGAAACATTGACATGTTTGAGAAACTCTTTAGAGTGTTTGACTAATCTGAAAGTGAATTATTGAAAATTCGAAAGATAAATTAATGTGAATCTTGAATGAAAACGAACTTGAGAGTTGCATTCCTCAGCTGAAAGAAGAAGAAAAAGCTACTCTGATACACAATCGATTCAATGTTTCTTAAATGTAGTCAGCATTCCTGATGATGTAGTAGATGCTTTATGGGACTTGTGCTTTAATTGTACGTGACTCACGTTAGGGAAAGTAGAGTTGGCTGGGCCTAGTGTTGACCACAATATCCCTTCATATGCCGAACTTACAGACATGGGTGAACTCTATCTCATTTGCTCCATCGCCAGTGTAGAAAGCTAAACTTTCTTGACTTATTTGGATTTGGTAAGTAATTTTTCGGCCCATAACATAGTGACACCGTGTTAGGATACATGCCTTTCGTGTTGTAGTTCTATTTGTTTATATTTACATCTGCAAGCGTAGATTTTCAAGAGTGCCTTATTACATGAAAGCTTGTTATTAAAACGTTTCTTATGAATTAAAATAAATATATCTAGGACTACTTTATTACACATTTAAAACAAGGTACGACAGGGGAGGGAATGATCTTCGTCTAATCATACCTGTCGCACACTTGGATTCTGGAGCAGGAGTTGTTTTTTATGTGAGACCAATGGCTGAAGGAGAATTCCCTGACAGACCAATGGCTGAAGGAGAATTCCCTGATAGACCAATGGCTGAAGGAGAATTCGCTGATAGACCATTGGCTGAAGGAGAATTCGCTGATAGACCATTGGCTGAAGGAGAATTCGCTGATAGACCAGTGGCTGAAGGAGAATTCGCTGATAGACCAGTGGCTGAAGGAGAATTCCCTGACAGACCAGTGGCTGAAGGAGAATTCCCTGACAGACCAGTGGCTGAAGGAGAATTCGCTGACAGACCAGTGGCTGAAGGAGAATTCCATGACAGACCAGTGGCTGAAGGAGAATTCCCTGACAGACCAATGGCTGAAGGAGAATTCCCTGACAGACCAATGGCTGAAGGAGAATTCCCTGACAGACCAGTGGCTGAAGGAGAATTCCCTGACAGACCAGTGGCTGAAGGAGAATTCCCTGACAGACCAGTGGCTGAAGGAGAATTCGCTGATAGACCAGTGGCTGAAGGAGAATTCCTTGACAGACCAGTGGCTGAAGGAGAATTCCCTGACAGACCAGTGGCTGAAGGAGAATTCCCTGACAGACCAGTGGCTGAAGGAGAATTCCCTGACAGACCAGTGGCTGAAGGAGAATTCCATGACAGACATCCCTCTGATGGACGCCGTAAAGGATGTAAAGGCCTCTAGGATAACGTTTGGGCCGTTTGGCACTGACCTTGCTACATATAACAAGAGCGAGTCTGCTGATCCGGCCTCTGTTTGTACAGCTGTTTTGGTTGATGTGCAAGTTGATGTGGCGGTTGATATGGCGGTTGATGTGGCGGTTGATGTGCAAGTTGATGTATCAGTTGATGTGGCGGTTGATGTGCAAGTTGATGTGTTAGTTGAAGTGGCGGTTGATGTGCAAGTTGATGTATCAGTTGATGTGCCGGTTGATGTGGCGGTTGATGTGGCGATTGATGTGCCGGTCGATGTGCAAGTTGATGTAGCGGTTGATATGCCGGATGATGTTGCGGTTGATGTGCCGGTTAAGGTGCCGGTTGATGTGATGGTTGATGTGGTGGTTGATGTGCCAGGTGATGTGCAAGTTGATGTCTCCAAAAGTCTCAATTTGGAATCCTTGTTCAAGTCAGTAGACCGTTAGGGAAAGTAAAGGCAGCGGGGCATAGTGCTGACCACACGATCTCTTCATATGCCGAGGTCAGAGAAATAGGTTAACATTACTTCTTTTGCCCCATGGACCGTCAGGATCGAAAGGGAACTTAAGATTTTTTTTATAGATCTCCAGTTCTTTAGGCGAACGAAAGCAGCTGCTGGTGTTCATACCTCTCCATACGCTAGTACAATAATGACCTGTAGGTCAAACCAGTGCCGGTGCCAAGTTATCTAGGGCCCTAGGCAAAACTTATTACGACGCCCTACCCCCCCCCCCCGCATTTTTCGGTCACCCTTATATATATATATATATATATATATATATATATATATATATATATATATATATATATATATATATATATATATATATATATATATATATATATATATATATATATATATTAGAAGACTCTCACTACTCACTAAATTCTAAATTAAATCATTTCATTGCAAAGTAAATGCATCAACGAAAATTATAAATAGTGTTCCTTCTTATTTGGCAAGTCGGTCAAAGAGTATGAGTCAAGGAAACTTGATATGTGTTATGGTTTCGAGTTTCATTTTTTCGTGTTTTTTTCCGTTATACTATTAATTTGAAATTAATTCCTTTTTATAACTTAATTTTAATTAATTATTCTTGAGAGAAGGATTTTTAGTTTCAATTCGCTTAGTAAAAGACTATTTTAATAGGTTTTATCGGCACCCCCGTTCAACTATGTAAAGAAGAGAATAAGCCATGGAAGTGGTTTAAAGATTTGCCTATTTTTCATACTACAACTTGTTTTTTTTTTCCTACGCAACATTGTGTTTAAGTTACTGTAGAACAATCACTACAGTAATCGATTAGTTTTTTGTTTTTACATAACCACTAGCCTATCAAGGTGCAAACACATTTTTTTTGGGTCGGATTTTGTCCCCCCCCCCTCCCTAAACGGCCGGCGTTGTGCGCCGACCCAGATAGGTGATAGGTAATAATATAAAGAACTCATTACGGAATTATATACAGTCGAAATAAAGTATGTGGACTGCTACTTCGCATTACACTTATTTGTTTTCCACACCAATTATGTGACGCCAAAATAATAAAGTGATCTCCCTAAACGTTCTCGAATATTCTTATATAATACTACGAAATTTTGATAAATCTGGATTTATAATTTTAGCCAGATTAAAATAAGTCCCCTATACTCCGAATATAAGATGAAGTACTAAGTTGTAATACGGTGAAAACTGTCAAGAAGTCATGTGATTTTTTTGCGCGATTACAATGCTTCCTCAATTCTCTGTATACGAGAAAGTAAAAAGGCAGTGTGACTTTTAAAAACAGAGTTTCTTCCAGGCCCCTCTGAAATTTTAGTCCGCCCCCCTCCCCCGAAAATTTTAAGTGCCCCCCCTCCCGGAGAAAATAGTCTGGCAGAAACACTGGTTAAAAAGCGCCCCGACCTTTTCAAATAAGGAGATCAAAGATTTGAGAATGTCCCAAACTTGTCCTCTTTTTTGATAATCAAATATGTTGGCGTAATCATATTGCACTAAATATATTCATGTAGCGAGGAATTTTTAAAACATTTTGCTTTAGATCCTCTGTGTTTGTATGTGCCTGGCTGCGTGTTAATGAAGTTTTGTTTTGTTAGGATTTTTCAATACTCGCTTTCCATGTTAACAATTTTATTTAAATGTTTCTAAAAATAAACTTCCGATTAATCTCTAAACCTCTTTATCATGTTTTGTTTGTTGAAGTTTTTGACGCATTGCCATAATAAACATAGACGACAGGAAACAGCTAGACTAGAACTAATACACTACAGTCTAGATATAATTTATTAAAATGGTAAGTGTAAGGATTATTTTTTTTGGTTTGTTTGGGACACGCTAACCTTTCCGCAATAAATGGCGGTTGTATGTGATTTGGCATGGAATCAAACATTGATCAGTAACTTAGAAATCAAGAAAAAGCATTCATAAGTACATGACCTAGTTGAGATCATCCTTCCATCATTATTGTTGACATGGATATGAAGCGTTTTTTGTTTAGATTTTGCCATCAAAGCAAATGTAAAAATTTAAAATCATTAAGAAATTTAACATATTTAGAATCAATATTAAAATAGTTGCAAATCCAGAGATACGAAAATAATTTTTGTGTGTTTAAATTGAAGCTACATTTCTTTTTATTTTCATTTAGCCTATGTTACAACCTGAAGTTTTATAATATTCACGATAT